CCACGGGCTCTCTGCTCGCCGTGGACCCCGACAGAATCGTCATCAAGCGGCTGGTGCTCAGCGGCCACCCCTTCAAGATCTTTACCAAGACAGCTGTAGTGCGATACATGTTTTTTAACAGAGGTGGGAAGGGGGGACGTGGAGGCAGAGCTCCTGCTGCCTGTGGAAGAGGTTGAGCTTGCATAGGAAGGGCTGTTTCTTACCTGCTTTCATGTTTTTGTTCTCCAGAGGATGTGATGTGGTTTAAGCCAGTGGAGTTGAGAACTAAGTGGGGTCGGAGGGGACATATCAAGGAGCCATTGGGTAGGTTTGTTTTTTGTCTCTGAAGCTGAGCTGGGAGAAATGTGCATGCCCAGCCTGCCCTTCCTAGGCAGGAGAGACAGCTGATGGCCTCTTCTGCCCTGTGCCTAGGAACCCATGGTCACATGAAGTGTCACTTCGATGGACAGCTAAAATCCCAGGACACGGTGCTAAAACGTGTTTTTCCCAAATGGACTTATGACCCCTATGTTCCGGAGCCTGTGCCGTGGGTGAGGGATGAGACGGTGCCCCTGGCACAGGACGTGGAGCTGGACTAAGTCTCGAGGCCCAGACGGCTCCCGCAGTTCGTGCCTTTGCGCCCTCTCGTCCTGTACACAGTGAGGACAGCACTGCTGTGTTGGACATGTCAGTGCTGGGATCTGTGTGAGGGCAGCTGTCCCACCAGCTGCTGCTCAGGTACCAGTTACAGCTATTTATTTTAGTTGGAAAATATTTTCAAAAACATGGAAGCCCCTGTGTCTTGGTGGTATCGGGCTGTGGAGGCCAAAGGGGAGGCTGCGTTCACCCTACTGTCCCGTGGACCCCAGCCCACGTGGGCTGCTGCTGCACTGGGCTGAGCTTGGGGGGGGATTTTGCTGCATCAAGGAGAGATCCCACACTGGACGTTGCTGAAGGTTATTGCTGAGCCTGAGGAAAGGGAAGCAGCAGCCGGGGAGGCGCTTGCAGCTCCCCCAAGGCCCATCCTGGAGCGGGTGGCTGGGCAGGGAAGCACAGGCAGCCTTCCCTGTAGCAATTCTGGCTCCGCTTTGGAGCAAAGTGGCTTTGTTCTGGAGCCTAAGCCCAGCTTCCCATCTCCCTCCCTAAAAGCACAAACCCGTCGGGTTGCCCATCTATTTCAATAGCGCACAAACCAGGCTGTACAAACCCAGCGTCGGGCTCGTCCCAGGGAGCTCTGTGGGCCAGCCCAGGGCACAGAGGTCCACGCACAGCACGACAGAGACGTTCTCCACGGCCGGGGAGACGGCCCGGAGCCGCTCGGAGAGCAGCTTCATCCCTTCCCACAGCAGCCGCGTTGCTCCCTGTCGGGACAGAGCAGCGTTTTCCAGCGGGAGAGCGTATGGAAGGGGCAACGTCTGCCCTCAGGGCCGGCGCGGGGGGGAGCGCGGCCGCCACGCGCGGAGGCGGCG